GAACAAAGAGGTTTGGGTATTTCTGTAGCTGAACGGGTGCGCACAGTCGCGAGCGGCTAAGGCCTGGTGCGGCGGCACTCACTTCCCGCCCACCCCACCGTCCCCTCGCGCCTACCTTCGCCTCTCTGTAGAAGGTCAGTAAGAGGGCATAGCCTCCCGAGCGTTTCTGAGGCTTATAATCCTGCTCCTCGCGGTTTTCCGGTCTCCTCCTTTTCTGTGGAATAGCAGCATTGGGGGTTTTGTTACTACAGTGATCAGTCAGCCCCCTGCAGCTGTTTGCAGCACCGCACCGAGATCAGGAGAAGGCAGCTCAGCCTCTCAGACCCACTTGGAATTCTCACCCCTCCCCTCTTCACCTTAACGTACACCTGGGTGTTTCTACCACTCTTCTTTATCACTGTTCAGCCCCTACTCGCTGTGGAAGCGTGCTCCACGTTCCCAACGCTCTCCGGGTGAAGATGGTTCTCAGCTCTATGGGTCCTCGGAGAGACGGTACCCTCTGACAGTGCGGTTTATGCTCAGTACCGATGCCACAAGCGCTGGCCTGAGGTTATAGCCCGGTGAGAGGGAGAGGGAGAAGTGGAGGAAGAGGGAGAGGACGCAAGGGATGGAAAGGGAGAGGGTGCAAGGGACGGAGAGGGAGAGGGAGAGAACACAGGGGGAGAGGGAGAGAACACAGGGGGAGAGGGAGGAAGAGAACGCAGGGGGAGAGTGAGAGAGTGCAAGGGAGGGGGAGGGGGCGGGGGTAGGGGGAGAGGGTGCAAGGGGGGGAGAGGGAGAGAGCCCGGGGTTCGGGGAGGGGGGAAGAGACGGAGAGTGCCCACGGGGGGAGGGAGTGAGGACAAGAGAGAGGGAGAGAATGTAGGAGACAATGTGAGCAAGAGATTGGGAGATGTAGAAAGAGGCAGTACTACCATGAAAACACTAAGACTGTGGGTTTCCTTTACTCAAGTGTGACTGTCCCTCTTCCTGCCTCCGTCTCTCCCTCCCTCCCTGCAGATCAATCCCCTTGCCTCTGGCTCTTACTGATGGAGAGGGTCTCAGCTCGGCTCCATCCTCCTCCTCCGAGATACTCTCACCAGCACGGTGACAACGCGGTCCTTTCGCTGGTGAACCCGGCCGTGCCCTGTAGCCAGTCCAGGTCGGTGCTGTCGGAAACTGGTGGCATGTATAATGAATGGGCGCACCAGCACCTGGAACCAAACACATCGTAAAGTGGGCATCTAGGAAGTGGCAACCCTCACATCGGTCAAGGTTCCTGCTTGCTCCCTGCCCCCAAGGCTTCGGGATGGGCCCCTCTCACAGCTCAGTCTCAACAGGCCGTGCCAACTGAGAGTCTCCACTGCATGCCTGGCACTAGACCCAATCACCAAGTCACCACTTGCTTCTGAGCTGTCTCACCTTCCTCCTCACAAACTTTCACTCTCTCTCTCTTCCCCAACACTGTCTGTCTCTCTCAGAACCTCCAACTATCCCCCTTTCTCACACACTCTCCGAATCACCTACTGTTTCCCTCTGTCTCATAGCCACACACTCTCCAGAACCTCAAACTATCCCACTCGCTCTCTCTCTCACACTCTCTCCCTGAACCACCGACCGTCTCCTTCTTTCTCTCCCACACCATCTCTCTCTGAGAACTGTTCTCTTTCTCCCTCTCTCCTTCTCTCTCTCTCTCAGAATCTGATGTGGAGGTGCCAGTGTTGGACTGGGGTGGACAAGGTCAGAACTCACACGGCACCAGGTTAGCGTCCAACAGGTTTATTTGAAATCACAAGCTTTCGGAGCACTGCCCCTTTGTCCTTCACCTGACAAAGAGGCAGCGCTCAGAAAGCTTGTGATATCAAATAAGGATGTTGGACTATAACCTGGTGTCAAATGACTTCTGACTCTCTCAGAACCACCAACTGTCTTTCCCTGTCCCACACAGTCTTGTTCTTTTTCAAAATTACCAACCTCCCTCTCAAACACGCACACACATCTCTCCGAATCACCATCTCTACCCCTCTCTTCCAGAATCACCAACTATTCTCTCTCTCACACACACGCACACACTCAGAACCGACGGTCTCCCGTTCTGAGTCACCCTTTGGCTCAGCGTCGCCATCGCCCTCTCTGCCCCACACGCCATCTTCCCCGCTCAGCGTCGCCCTCTCTGCCCCACACGCCATCTCCCCCGCTCAGCGTCGCCATCGCCCTCTCTGCCCCACACGCCATCTTCCCCGCTCAGCGTCGCCCTCTCTGCCCCACACGCCATCTCCCCCGCTCAGCGTCGCCATCGCCCTCTCTGCCCCACACGCCATCTTCCCCGCTCAGCGTCGCCCTCTCTGCCCCACACGCCATCTCCCCCGCTCAGCGTCGCCA